CTTACTCATTGTTATTATTAAGCAGCATAATTTTTTTTTTGTCTTTACTTGTTTTCCCTAGTATAGTTATAATATATTTTCCTCAAAAAACAGTTGGCTGTTTCAGACAATTTTGTTGATCAGAATTTTGAATGTATAAAAACAAATTCATTTGCTCCTCTTGGTAGCCATACAAGCATTTTTAAGTGGAAGCTGCATGATTTATTTCTTTTAATTTGTCATCAATTGTATTTTATTAACTTTTTTCAAGTAGTTTTAATGCCTGTTCTTGACTATTTTCAGAAAAGAGCATATTTTGATATAAAGAATCTTTGATTGGATCTTATTTTAAGTTTTTTTTAGCTTTAACTCTTCATACAGTCAATTCAGAAACTATGCACTTTTTCCACAATTAGCTATTATTCAGCCTTTTTTCTTCCAAGATGGTATTAATATAATATCTTTCCTCAAAATTCTACAAACCATATTGCCTCATGACAAATTTAAATAAGACATTTTTGAGATCAGTGAGAAGGAATTAAAATGAGAAAACAAGAATATTAACTTTATGACAGTATTTACTGCCTTTTTCATTTAGCTCAAAAGTCAACTTAGGTCCATACTATTTCCACCAATCATACTTTATATATTTCTACAGCTTTAATGAAGTCCACCTGTGATTAATTCAGGTGGATGGATATGGATGTTTAAAAAAAAACACTGCACACCTGTTAATATAGGTGCATACAGTTGACAGTGTGTGTCAGAGTGCAAACACTAAGCATGAAAGCAAAGAAATTGTCTGTAGACCTTTGAGTTATAGAGTTGCCTTGAGGCACACATTTCTGAGAGAAAACAGATACATTTCTTCTCCTGCTTATAAGATTCCACTGAGCAAAGTGGCAAATATGAATGTTGCTGTGCACATAGACTTCCTGAATGAAAACCAGTTCCATTTTATTCATTTTTTTACCTTGGATTTTGTTCAAGAGTTAACTTTTCTGCCCAACAACTATTCAGAGCACACAGCCAAAATCTCAGGGGAGTAGCTTCAGAACTCTCTGTTAATCGGTTGGAGTGAACAAGGCAGGGTACAGACTGAATCCAATGGTAGATCTTTATAGAGATCTAAAAAATGACTGTTTACAGATACACTATCCCTGTCATAACCTAATGGAGATGGAAATATTCTAAAAATTAAGAATTTTGGAAGAAAGTAAAAACACTGTTAAAGATCGGTGTTCTAAGACCGTGGAGCCATTTTTAAAAAATACTTCAGCTTCTAATTACTGCCTAAGCGGGTTAAAGAAAGTATTAGCAAAGACAGTAAATATTTATGTAAATTTGTTTATATTGTCTTCTATTTTTGACAGTATTGCAACAATAAAAAAATACCTTCTCATATTTAACTAAATTGAAATATGTTTGCGGTTTGATAAAAGAGATTTTATTAATCTCTTTAGTAACAGGGCAGTGACAAATAAAGATGGAGCGAATTCAGTGCCTACGAATGCTTTCAAAATATGCTATACACTGATTTTGTCGGGCTGCTCAGTGACCCAGTGGCTAGCACTGCTGCATTGAAGCAAGAAGGCTCATGCATGGAGTTTGCATGTTCTCCCTGAGCATGCGTGGTTTCTCTCTCCGGCTTCCTCCCGTAGTCCAAAAACATGAGTGTTAAGTTAATTGGCTTCTCTAAATTCTCCTTAGGTGTGAGTAGGTGCATGAATTGTGGTTTGTCCTGTTTGTCTCTGTGTTGCCCTGCGATGGACTGGCGACCTGTCCAGGGTGTATTCCGCCTCAAGCCAGTACACAGCTGGAGATAGGATCCCCGCTTGGGATTAGCGTGAAAGAAATGGACTGATTTTGTCTCAATAATATGTCTAGTGAAATACTTTATCATTGTTTATTGCTTTCATTTTTTTTTTTGTAATGAGGTAACTAATATGGTGCAGCCATTTACAGTTATTTATTCTAAATCTAAATAAAATTGTTCAAAATACATAAAATGATTTCTTGTATTTAACTGACATGTACCAAACTGTGCACAAATTATTTTTTTCATGCAATGCTTTAGATGGCTCCTTGACTCAAAGTTTCTTTGAAAACATTTATTTAACTCTGTAACTAGAACGCATCAATATTGTTGAACTATAGGATAATTTTAGCCATCAGTAAGGTCAATATGGAATGTGTTTTACTGTAAAAGAAAAAAGTTTAAACATTCACTTCAGTATTATGTAGATGTAGCCCAAAAGAAAACTTTACTTCAGTTTGAAAGACAGGCACTGAAACTGAAATTTAGAGCCAATATATTTTTGGTGTAAATCAAAGCAAATAAATTAACAAGTATCCAACTGAGTTATTAATATATGTAATTTTAGCCACAAAAGAGATAAGTGAATTACCAAAAAAACAAAACCATCAGAAATTGTGAAACTATTTATGCTTAAAGAACTGCTTTGACAGTATAAAAAAGTAAAGTCTACAAAATATTGGAGTCATAATACTCCAAAATCCTGGAAGCGAAGAATCCATACAAACATCAATATGTTCAAGAAAGCAATGTATAATTCATAGCAGTTTCTGCATTTTCAGGTATTTATTAGTTTATTTATTTTGCACATCATGAGCCAAAGTTTAGGTGTTAAAGTTATTGTAATAACAGAAAATGTAAATAATAATAGATGGTGATGTGTCAACTAAAGAAAAGCATTAATATCAACTTTTTATTTTCTTTCAAATAACTAATATGTTTTTTCTTTAACTTGACCCAAAAGCTGTGCTACATAACAGGCTTGTGATATTTAGATTCATTAGTCCTTTTGCGCAAAAGCTATGCAAACTATACTCCTGTTTTGTCGAGGACAGTTGTGCATTTGTAAAGCTGTTGAATACGCTTGGTTAAACTGTTCTGATAGGATTCGATTTTCATGCTTATTGAAGTTTGTCATTTATGATGAATTCTATATTTGTCATTGTCCTCTCTTGGGGATTTATTAAATTCATAGTTTGGATCAATGTTGTGCATGGAGACATGAGCTATTTTTTCCAGGAGGAGATTAAACCCAGATCAGTTATTGACATACAGGTTTGCAGTCTGATGGAACATTTGCCTTTTACTACATGCCCTGGAAAAAAAGCTGAATACACTTAGATACACTGTAAATACCCCATTGCTAAATTCCATTACACTACCAGGAAAAAATAAAACATGCACCTGATCAATGCACACACTTAACATCAGAGCATTTATATGGCACTGCTGCATCTTTGTACTATATGCCTGTTTATTAATCTGATGGAAGTAAGGATAAATAAATATTGAAATCTATTAGCGTTGCTAACTTGGACTCTACTGTACTGTATACTGATGGTCAGATGGTAGCAGTTCATATTTTGAACCAAGGTTATGAATGGGATCAGACAGTACATTCTCCCTGAATATTATGTATTTATTTCTTAACAAGTTCTAGTAAATTAGAAACAGCAATCATCAATAACAAAGGTCAACTGTATGCTGGTCGTCTGTATTAGAATATCTTAGTCTCAGTCTTATGTCTTCTTTTAAATAAAGGGTGTGATGTAGTTCGCTTTTCTTTGGAAACATTGATTGTGATGACCAGGGCTCCATAATTATACTTCTATATGGGAATTATTTTTAAGGTAACAAATTGTTTTTATGTTTTTAAGTGAACCAATCTGGCGTTGTTTTAAAAAAGCAAAGCCGATTTTTGTTAAAAAAAATATTTGAAACTTGGTTTGTTTTAGAGGGTAAAAGTGAAGCGGTCCATACCTAAATCTATAGGTTCTGATAACTGGGAAATATTACTTTGCCATATGTTTTGCTGTTTATATTTGGAGAGGGTATGTTTTAATGCAGCGTGAGTAGAAAAAAAAATATTTGATTTTGTTTGGCTAGGAATGTTGTTCAACTGAACTCAAGATGTCGCTATATAACAGCCTAAATTATAACCACAATCCCTCCTTTGTGATCTTTCTCAGTGTGCGCATCGGAGCTGTTCTATATAAATGAGAATAACGCGCTGACTTGAAAGATTTATAATTTTATGTAATCCGGAAAAACGTTGTTGAACCGCAGCTTGAATCCTTTTCGCAAAAGAATTTGACAATGGTTTTGAAAATGCTTTTTTTTCTGTGGTTGAGTTGCTTATTTTCTCTGCTACACATCGCGCACGGAGAAAGGAGTTATTCCTTTCCGGAGGAGATGAAACGCGGATCAATTATTGGAAATATCGCCAAAGATCTTGGAATGCATACAGGTATGCTGTCCATCAGAAGAGCTCGCATTGAAACGGAAGGGAGTGATCAACATTACTGTGACATAAACGTGAGGAACGGGGAGCTGATTGTGGCCGAGAGGATTGATCGTGAGGGCCTTTGTGGAAAAAAGCCTTCATGTATACTAAGGCAAGAGCTCGTTTTGGAAGATCCATTGGAGCTGCATCGGATCAGCATTCACATTCAAGATATCAATGATAATTCGCCAGAGTTTAAGGGAGCTAAAATTGATTTAGAAATTCAAGAGTCGACATACAAGGGAGCTCGCTTTGTGATTGAGGAGGCACGCGATGCTGATGTAGGACAAAATTCAGTTCAGCAGTACAGCCTTGAAAAGAAT